TATTGTTTCTGAGGCGTACAATAACAGGGGATTCCAACAATATTTTATGTATAAACTACACGGCTTTAAGATCTTAATTAGGCTAATTTGATCATATATCGCACAAATGTTTTAAAATAATTTTAAAAAAGGGTGACTTTCTGCATCACATAATGCCAGCTGAGGCATAGTTCGTCATATTCAACATGTATAGCTTCTATTTTTTTTTTTTTAAAAAAAAAAAAAAGAATGGCACATTTCAATTAAGAAAATTTGTCCAGAATTTTTAATCTGAAGTTTTTGTTCATAAATTTTAATTATCTTTAAGCATTTATAAAAGATTTTTTTTTTCAAAAACATTATTTTTATTTCTCACGATGATCTCTCTATATTTTGATTCGACAATTACGCGTTTTATGATTAGACATAAATCTTTCTAGAGAAAAATTGTTAATACGAAAATTCATACAATAACTAGGCTAAAATTCCCTTTTCTACATTGAATTCAAACTTTCATTATCTGCAAAAAAAAAAATTCAATTTACAAAAATTTTATTGAAAATTTTCGCGAATATTATAACCGCAGATCAACAATTTTTTTTTTTTTTTTATAGAAATTCACACAAACATTCATTATTGTCTCGAAATGAAATTCTTATTATTCAAATTATTTTACTCATGACTTGCTATTGATAGGATGGTTCTTTTAATTAAACGTTCCTTCCATTTATATTAAAAAATAAAACTTTTCCTTTCTTCAATTTCGTTCATATTTGGGTAGAATTATGAAGATTTTGGCCTACACTCTAATTGAATGACATAAAAGATGATTTATCAAAAATATTATTATATAAAATTCATTAAAAAAACTCTGCTAGAACTTTATGAAAGGTCGTAAGATTGAATGGAGTTTGATATAGCTCTCGCTTTTAATTGCATGTTATGATGAAATTAATAATTTCAACTAGGAATAATCTTCGATCTTTAGGTGGTTTATGTGTTAGAAGAATTGAGATTGTTTTGTTTGCTTTTTTTAAAAAAATTTCCAAGAACTTGGTGATAAAATTTAATAAAGTTATCTATTAACGGAAATACAAAATTTATTTTTTTAATTTTTGCATTTTCATTCTATTCATTCATTTGTGACTTAAAATTTGTATAATAAAAACTGTAAAAAAAAAAATTTGATTAGAGGCAAAAAATGGTTATCATTTCAATATTATGCAGCCGAAAAAAACCTTGAAAATTCTTTCGTTCCGTGAATTGTGATACAAGTGTGCAATCATTTTTTTTGTTATCAACTTACTGTAAATAATATATTGAAAAAATATTTTATTTGATTTATTGTGAAACGTTTTTTCCCGCGATTTATTCCTTTTTGGACGAATTATTTTAAATTTCATATGTTGATTGTTGTAATTTTTTTTTTATAATGTGACAATATATCTAATTTTAAAGATCAGAAAATTCAGGGAACTAAAAATAAATTAAAAAAAATTTTATTGTAATAAACCTTTATAATTCCGCCCAAGATCATAAATTATGTAGACCAAAAAAATTCAAATTCTTGAGGATATAACAAGGAGATTCCATAAATTTGTACTAGGCGTCTATAAACAATTACGCAAATATGCAAGGGAGGTTCAGTTGATATCATATGCAATTCATTACGATAATAAAATTCCGTAAAAGAAAAAGAACAAAAAATAAATATATATTTTTTAAAAATCAATTAAATTGATGCAAACGTATGTGAAACATTACAGGAAAATGCATCGCATAATTTTACAAATTATTTCACACACACACAAAAAAAAAAAAAAAATTGCATGGATGATGGGAATTCTTGAAAAATCTTTTTTTTTTTTTACTAGTTCCGAATGATAATTTATTAATATACATTCAATGAATGCATATTGGCGATTGGCGTTATTTCAAAAAAAAATTCGAATGAATTTTTTATTTTTATTATTTATTATTTATTTATTTTTTTAATTTTGGCCCAAAGTAAAGTAATTTCTTATCAAATGAATGAATGACCAATAAAAATAGATAAATTATTACTTTTTTAAAATATCGTGTAATTTCTCTTGTAATTGATGCATTGAAATATCATTCCGATCATGGTATCGGCATACAAATAACAATAGATCTACATGCATAGATACATTTAAAAAAAGCATGATATCAGATAAAATATCGTTTTCGCACATCTGATAATCACGTTCATGTATATAACTTTTCAGTTTTAGTTAAATAAATCAAATATTGATTATCTTACGAAAATCTGAAAAAAATAAACTTTATTTCAATACAATTAATACAATAAAAGTAATATGATTCCAAATATAGAAGAACATGAATCCATGAAGCAATGAGATAGAATTAGTCAATTGATTATCCAAATATATTTATTTTGATCATAGAACATGTAAATAAAAACAATTCAGTGAGAATTTTCTTTCGAAATCATTCGGCGCGAACTTCCGATAAGTCATTAAATTAATTGCAACGTTTTAATAATTTTGTTTTTAATTATTTAGGACCAGTAACATTTATTCCATGTAATCCAACTTTATTTATCAGAAACATTAAAAGGTATAAATAGAGTTCTTAAAAAAAAACGATTGTTCGCTAAAAAAGTGTTGCTAATAAAAATTTAAAAACTCCATAATATCTAACATCAAATCCGAACTCCAATTAATTGGAGAAACTAACCCTTCCCATGAAGTCCAAACTGGGGATATATCAAGAGTCAAGAAAAGAAATACATATATTCTCCCCATTATCTTGGGAGATTAATCAAGACAACAACAAGGTATTATTGACAAAAGTTAAGAATATATTACATGTATTAACAATTTACAATTTTAATAATTAGTGGAATGACATTTCTTCCCGAGTTTGGAATCACCTTGGTAGGGTCAGAAAGAGGGACATATATACGGAAGTGATTGTGAGAGAAACAAGATAACAACACAATGTTTGTTATTAAAAGGAAGATTCGTCTGTTTACTCCCTTACGGCATTCAAAGAAGAAGTAATTGACGAATCATCTGGACACATGGTCCATATATATATATGCCCTCTTATTATCACCCCTATAAAAAATTTTTCAGAAAAATGTTTTATGTATTTTTATTTTATGATCGATTAATTGATCGATTGACATGTTACGAATAAATGCATTCCTTGCGACATCATTAATAACACGATTTTTTTTTATTATTTAATTCTTATAAAATTCTTTATTAAATACAAAAATGGTTTAGCTTCTTTAATACATATTATTGCGTAATCACATATTTACAATGAGAATTTAATCAATGGAAAAAAACGTGAATTTACAAAATCAAGGGGTATAAATAATGTGATTTTTTGCTATCTTTTCTCCAAAAAAAAAAAAAAAAAAAAAAAATTTCAAAAACCAAATAAAGTATCTTCCAATATCTTCTTCTATAAAATAAACATTTTACTTCTCGGAATCCCTATAAAAAATTTTTGTGAAAATTGATCATGTCAGATTTTTTTTGGAATGAAAACGTAATGCGGGAGAAAATACCAATTGGTAAATGTTCTTAAATTTCATTATTTATTATTAATCTTTTTTTTTTTTTGCAACATTAATTTTATTAATATATAAATTAAATAGGGCCACGAACTTCCAAAGAACAAAGTGAAAACAGCATTACTGTTTCGCTTTCTTATTTTGTGAAAATAAAAAATTTCAAAATGTCATTTTTTATTTTCACAAAGTAAGAAAGCGAAAAAAATTTATGAGTGCTTTTAAAAACAAATAAGCTTTGTCTTTAGGGGAGGGAGGAGGGGGGGATGAGTAGGATAAACATAATATTTAGTTATAGTAATCTTTAGTTATATTTTATTATTTATTTATATGGTATTAAAGAAATGGTAAATAAGAAATAAAAAAATAGAGTATATTAAGTATTGAAAGTAATACATGCAAAAAAAAATGTTATTCAAGGAAGATGTTCTAAGCTATCTTTACTCTTCTCAGCGAGTAAAGATCTTTCTATACGTTTATAGAACCTCAAGACCATGCAGACTGTCGCCATCTTTGCCGAAGAATTAAGGGGGATGTGTAGTAGGGATAGTCATAATATTTAGTCATAGTAATATTTAGTTATTTTATTATTTATTTATATGGTATTAAAGAAACGGTAAATAAACAATAAAAAATAATAAACAATAAAAAAAAATAGAGTATATTAAGTATTTTAAATGAGTTCATTTACTGCAAGGGTTAAGATAAATCAAATTTTCGTGTTCGATAAAAAAAAAAAAGCCTATTGACGTGGTGTAAAAGTAGTAGATATGAAAGTAATATATGCAAAAAAAAGTCGTATTGATTGACGTGTGTAGAAGTAGTAGATTTGAAAGTAATATATGCAAGTATTATGGTTATAATGATAAAAAAAAAAATGTTATTCAAGGAAGATGTTCTAAGCCATCATTACACTCAACAATTTTAATATTTCTCGCCGTTGTCGGAACGGTAACCGCATCATAACGATTAGAGGAAATTTGTATCGCAGCTTGAGAAGCATAACGGGAATTCGGTTTTGGAAGGGCGTTTCTTTGGCCTTTCCCTCCCTTCCCTTGGGCCTTATCTTGTTTTTCTCTGATACAGAATTAGAAAATTTCAATCACAATTCTCCAATGATCTTTAATTCGTGATTTAATTAATTAGTCCTTGCAGCCTCTCAGTTAAATATCGGTACTACTAGTAAGGTACCCTCTATAATCAATTATATTATAGGTCTTTCATTATCTATCACAATGGTATGTGTTTTCGTTTAGCCAATCGTATTCTTCCAAAATGAGAATTTAAAAGAAAGATTTGAACTTTCTACTATTTCTTCATTATAGTAGAAAGATTCGAACTTTCTACTATTTCTTCATTATAGTACTTCTTAACAATATTTACATGTTCTGTTGTAATAGTTGGTTCCGGAAGGATGATATTTAATTGTCTTCTAATAATCTTCTTTAATAAAAAGTTGCACCATGTCTATAATCCAATATGGCGTGATTTGAGTAAAATAATTCATGTATTTCTCATCTTCATTTTTGGCTTTGTTTTTGTTAATATAATCTTTGAAATTCGCGAAAATGTCTTCTTGTTTTATATGCGCGGAGCCTGGTCTATAATGCTTCTTCTTAATCGTTATTCTCTCCTACGATATTCTCTTCTATGAAATTCGAATGTTCAAATGTTGGTTTTCTCGGTAATTTATATGAAGGCAATATGATATTATTTTTTGATTAAAAGGTTTTCTGATTCAATCGGTAAAAAATTGGCTATTACTTTATATAATTGTATCCACCCTAATCCAGTAACTTCGCACCATTATCCTCATAGCACTAAAAGACTAAAGTGAACTATTTTCTTGTGAATGTATATTTCCTTCGTTGTTGTTCAATCCTCAATAGTTGTTAATAAATATATTGCTTTTAAAAACTATTATATACATTTGAAATTATACCATAGTAAGTTCATAATTTCGTTTTTCTAGTTGTGTTGTTAATAAAACGAACGTAAATTTGATCAATAAATAATATACTTCATATAAAATATTACGTTAGTTCGCTAATTAAGTCATTGTTAAAAGTAACTCTACACTAATAGTTATCTTGTTGGTCGTGGAAATGTTCAATTGAATACTGGGAGGGCTTACAGCAAAGTAAGGGTATGTAAAAAAACGGAACTGAAATAAGAAAAATTCATTAATTCTTCTATTATTAAAAAAAATCCCATTTACACACCACCCCATATGACCATATCAATGATGTGATCTTGATAAACTCCTTAAATCATAGAAGCATCGCCACATAAAAACGAGGCTGTACGCGGGAACATATTTAAAATTAGAAATTCCGTATAAATTCCGTCTAAAAATTTTATGGGGCAAACCTTATTATTTATGTACTCGTATGATTGTATTACAGAGCGAAACCTTAACAGGTAATATTAACTATTAACTCGCTGAAAATGGTTCAATTTGCGTATGATAGAGAGGGTAAAATCGTAATTTTTTTTTTTAAAAAAAAATATTTATAAATCTATTCTTCAAGTCGATAGTAGATAATTAAATTTTAATCTTTTCAAATATTGACTTACATCCTTGTGAAAAATTTTTTGGAAAAAGCTCTGATAAATGATCATTTTTCGACTTTGATTTCTTCTAAGACGTAAGATGAGTGAAAAGGAAAATCTTAAGGACAAACGTCAAATTTTCAGACAAAATCAAATTTTTTCAAATATTATCAAAATCTTCAAAATGTCTTACCAAATGGGTGCAAATTTCATCAATGCTCCTTTTAATAATATTCCTCTTGATAAATGCCATCCTTACCATCTCCAATCTGAACCATTCACCTTCCAATATTTATCACAAGATGGTCAAAGGTGGATGCTCTGAAATTTATACAGCAGCATATCCATTACAATATTCTATTTAATTATCAATGAAATATTATACCTAATAGGTTTTATGAAAAAAAATTAACTTTAGAAGAACATGAATGTCAAAGAATGTTTGAATTAGAAGAAAAAAAATTAACTCAACAATACGAGTTAGAAAAGATTAAGTTGGAAATAGAAAAATTACGTGCTGAAAATGAAAAAGTTAAATTAGGTCCCTGTAAAGTGGAAATTCATATTACAAAATTTAGGACAAGGAAGAAATGTATCAATAACGGTACATCTAAAGGAGGATCAATGCATGATAAACAAAATATGGATAATAATGGATATTAAAGCGGAATTAACAAAAATCACTAATAAAGAAATGCGGCACAGTAAAACATATTATATACAGTATATATATATATTCAGGAAGGGTTGATGTTATTGTTAGTAAATAACCTATTGTGGATATTGTCATAGGATGTTGTGAAATGACTTGGGGTGAAAATTAGTAAATCGCTTGTCAACTTTTTATTCTGCGTAACGAGAATTATTATTTGTATTTGAAGAGTGATCGGGCGAGTATTAACTAATAGAGCATCGAAATCATGCGGGGTATATGGCATTCCGCCATTCATTAGGGATGTTTCCTTGTTGTAAACATATATTGGCGAGACGTAAAGAAAGATCGAGACTAAGCAAGGAGATGGGGAAGATATATGACTAGTTATCTAATAACGATATACTGACAAACTATTAAACTATTTCGATCATTTCACGGAGTTCTTAAAAATAAAATATAAAGTTTAGATAATTTTTTTTTTAAAAAAAATAACAATGTTGGGATTCTGATCAATTAAAAAGGCCTGATGCAAAGTAATGGAATTATTAGCTGAATCATCAGAATATGTTGGTGTTTTTTTACTTTACCTCCTGATTTGCTGGTTGAATCGAATCAAAATTTTAATAATTTATCATCGAAATATAATTATCAAATAAAAAAAATTACAATTTTTTTTCAATTTTCCGCAATCATGTACTTATTTGTCGCTTGTATCTGCTCATATGTTTCATAATTATTCAAATTCATAGAAATGAAAATACAACTAACTACGAACCCAACTGATCATTATGGATAATTTCAAAACTTTTGAATTTTTATCACTTTCTCTGTTTAATTATATTTTTATTCAACTTTAGTTACATTTATTCAATACATTTTTTAATATTTAATTCGTAAACTATGAATTAGACGAGAAACGTATAATTCCGGATAATTACTATTTAAAATAAATCTATTATAAAATAAAGAATCAAATTTATCAAATTTGGATTTTTTATTTTGAAAAAAGAAACCTGTTTTTCATCTATTTTACAATAAACGGTTGGCTTAGCGGAATTTGATGCTTTGAATGAGACCTCCGTTAGTCAAAATTCGCTCCCGTGACATTTGTGTCATTTAATCCCACGTTTTTAACTTCTGAATTTCGGTAGTGTAATCTCTAAAAATATTGCCATATTTCTTTTGCCCCTCTATTTATTTTTTTTTTCCTTTGTATTAAAAAATAAGGTAGTTGAACAATTCTCAACAAATCATAGCGATACAAAACTCTAACTTTGGATAATAATACCTTTTGCCCTTACGAGAAATTGTAATGAGATTATCGGTTTAATTGAAATATTTTTACGCCACTCGGCAGATATCAACACACCAAATGTGGAGTGCCGAGTAGCACATGCTCATCTGGTAACCTTTCGAGCGCGGAGATTGCGGCGATCTTGTAATTAAGAAGAGTACCCTCTTATATTCATCAGAATTAGACCGTCGATGGTTTCATAAGGACAAAGCCATATCTAATTCTGATATGCGCAACAGCAACTTAGAATCATACAACTAAAGTGTATCCATAAGCTGTGTTTGTGATTTAGAACATTCATTTCGATCAAATCTATGTTGTAACTAAAGCCGTGAGAAATTCCATTTTCCCTTCCATTTTCCCTAACAGATATTTGAAGTATTATTTCCTAAATTAATACAATCTAATGAGGGGTTTGCATCAATAATATCATCAGGAATAATATGATCGTTAAAAAGAATGATTCTTTCTATTACGGTCCCGGCGAAGATTATCCTAAAAAAGAGGTAGCCAAGAGAGCAGCGATACGAGAAATGGCGAGAAGACCCAATCTTGTATCATCAAATTTCATTTGGGAGATACCAATTAAAGATTTCTTGACTGCGTCAGATGAAGTACAACGAAGTTGTCTTATGTTTAAGCCAAATCAAGTTATTTTTAAATCGGTACAAGGAAGATTTCGCGTTATTTTAAGCAAAATTCTTGGAGTCAACCCTACTAATTCTCAAATTTCGGCTGCTTCATGGCTTGTTGGTGCTTGGTTCGGTGGTGGAATTGTAAAATCACCCATTATTTATGTTAATGAAAATGAAAATGAGATTTAAGAGCTATAGAGCAATACAGTGAAATGTTAAATTGGAGATATATGAAAGAATTACATAAAGCTAAATTAGATGATTCAGAATGGAAAATTTCATTTATGAGCGATAATGATATTGAAAACGGTTCTATGTCCTTCTTCAAATGTTGGATATTTTGGACACTAAAAAAGTGCCATCAGTTATTATGACTGATGAACTTGATCAGGTTTGATTAATTTTGGTTTTATGTAATAATTAATTCGTTCAAGAGAAAAAATTGTGAATTAACTTTTTTTAATTCAAATAGGTTCGCTTGCCTCTACTCGCTGGAATTTTAGACATTAGTAGCCATTTACTAGAAGAGAACAGAAATACAGATATGTTTACCGGTCCCTTCACGAGCGATGTGAACAAATCTGTAATCTGGCAAATTTATCAGGGTTTATTCTACAAACATAGTTGCAAACATGAAAGAGTGTTCAGATAATATAACGACCCCATCTTGTTGTACGATTATCAGTGCCAATAAGTTAGAAAAACTTCCTTTAGTTCTCACGTAAGAAAGTATTCAAAAATCCAAATTTAATCGCGATATGGTATGGCGATTTAAAGTAGAAAAAGTTGGCCTTGGGTCATATTATGGGTTCAAGGTTGATAAAAACGAGCGCATTTTACTAGCAGATTTGACAGTGAGTCATAATGTGAGTCTTATTTTATCTATCTTTTTATTTATTTTTTTTAAAAAAAACAAATGCTTTATTTTTGATTTATTATTAATTAATTATGTATATCCTCTCTTATTAGTCCACGAATTTATCATTGGTTATTACAAAACGGATTAAAGGTCCTTATTGCAGCATGTGATACTTTTAGATCAGGTGCCGTAGAACAATTAAGAGTACATGTTAGGAATTTGAATGCTTTAGGTCAAAATTCAAATGTTGAATTATATGAACGTGGATATAGAAAAGATGCTGCTAGGATAGCAAAGGATGCTATTAATTACGGTATGTATAAAATTGACTACGGTGGAGACTTGTTGTTGACATATTTTTACATTTTTAGCCAAAATAAACAAATTTGATGTTGTATTGATCGATACGGCGGGACAACGAACCATTAATGCGAGCGTTAGCTAAGGTATGATACTGATCGTATTATATATATATTTTACGCGATCTTTTAACTAACTTTAATTTACACTATTAGTTGCTTCGGCGAATAATCCCGACAAGATTATATTCGTCGGTGAAGCATTGCCGTTGATCAACTCACGAAATTTAATCAAGCTTTGAAAGATTTTTCAGGGTTACAAGATCCAAGACATATAGATGGAATGATTTTGACGAAATTTGATACAGTTGATGATAAGGTTTGGCGAAAATGATATTAAAGACTAACATATGGTAATCAAACACTAATCTAAAATTTTTTATTTGGAACAGGTTGGGGCAGCCTTATCAATGACTTATACAACCGGACAACGATTTTATTCGTTGGAACCGGTCAAACGTATACAGACTCAAAGAACATGAGAGCCGGACATATCATTCACTCTCTTCTTAAAGAATGAAATTTGAGGATCACAAATCAGTGATTTAATGATGAACGTGGTGAACACTTTGGACATTTAATATTTAATCAAAAATCAAATTATTATTAAGAAATTTTTTTAATTTAATTTTTATTTATTTTATTTATTTAAAAATTTGGGGAACTGGGAAAATCAATAATTATTTATTTTATTTTATTTACGTTTTTATTAATTGATCTTTATTAATTTAACATCATTTCTGATTAAAATCAATGGTCTAATGATAGAGAATACATGTCAGAGAGAATACGCGTGATAGAGAGAACACTTGTGATAGAAGAATATGTATAGTAAAAATAAAAATAAAAAATCAGAATCAATCAGATCAAATTTAATTATTCAAGTTATAAGTAATTGAGGTTTTGAAACGTGTATTTTTTTTTTAGTTTAGTTGTCTTTCCGTCGTCATAAAGATAGCACTTTGAATCTTCAATAATCTATTATTAAATGGAGTTCCTCCAGCTAATTCAGAATTTCATATACTAGTAACTTAAATTAAATTAAGCATTGCTATTTGAATATTTATATACAACCTGAATTTGTAACAATAATGAATAAAATATATATTTATTAAATAATTTATTACAAATATAATTTAGTGGATTCTATATTAAAAAATAATAATAAAACATGAAATAAATAAAAAATAAACAAACTAGTTCGTAATAGAATTGGTAATTTGACCCTGTATGAACCCTCCTGTATGAAACACAATATATGCGGATCAATATGCTAGTTAAGTCAATCTTCCTCTTTTCGTGAGACGCGCTAATTGGTAATACCCCTGCCAAGCTTCTATACCCCCAGAAAGGGTCAGAGTATAAAATGATCTGCTTACAGTAGAACTGTAATTTCTGGTAACGATCTCCTGTCCCGCGCAGTTGACACAACGTACATCTTTTTAAATTTCCGCCCCGTAATTTCTGGAAGCGGATTAGGAGGCCTCCCCCCGCAATTTCCGGAAGCGGATTAGGAGGCCTCCCCCCCCGCAATTTCTGGAAGCGGATTAGGGGCCCCCGTAATTTCTGGAAGCGGATTAGGCCCAGCGTATATCATTTTAAATTTCCGCGCATATGATTGAAAGTAGATAGGCATAATGACTCTTTCCGATAATGGTTACCGTAATTTCTGACAACGGATTAGGTAATATCTTTTTACTTTTACAGTGCTTGTCGTTTTTTTTTTTTTTTTTNTTTTTTTTTTTTTTTTTTGGTTTTTTTTTTCATTTCACCTTTATAAAACCACTTTACAAAAGTTTCCTAATCTGGCGCCAAGTATTAGATATTTCTTTTAAAATATATATTCACGTAATAATTATTGATTTGGCGAAGGTGCGGTTGTTAAGGGTTTGAGATAATGAGGTTTTGAGGTTCTTGAAGTATTGTAATGTGAGGTTCAGAGGTTTGTGAGTTTTTTTATGAGGTTCGTGAAGTTTTGTAAGGTGAAGCTCGGAGGTTTGTGTCTTTGTGAGGGTGAAAGAAAAAATCAAAATTTTTTTTGGGGTTAAAAAGAAAGCAATGAAAACGAAAAAAAATAAACTCCTGGATCACGATTTTATAGGATTTTATAATTGCACGACACGTCAACACGTCTACGTGCTAATTGCACTTCTAAAAATAGTAAAATAATTAAAAAACGCGTCCACCTTTTGGAAATGATCAACAAAGCACTATTTTTGCCGCAAACGTTCTTATACGATCACGTGCTATTTTCTTATACGATCAAATATCACAATATGCACCCCTTTTTATATATCTGTCTTTTTTGACAAAGAAACTCGCGAAGTGATATTTTACTAAAAGCGCGTTTAATCACTTTTATATTTTTTTGGTTTAATTTTTCTTTATTTATCATTTTATTCTTTATTGTATATTTATTTCATTTTATTTCAAAGATTTTTCTATGGAAAAAAATTTTTCATTATTAAGAAAAACGAACAATTATTTATTTATTCAAATAACTTTGTAATGTGGAGCCAAACATATTAGAAATTAGGTAAGTTATGTAAAAAAAAGGTGAATTTAACATATTAAGTGACTCGTGTGATTGTAAATCTGTAGGCAATGAGTCTGAAGAGTGAGTTAGCAGTTGGTGTATATAAGGATTATACAAAGGTTGATTGTTATTAGGGAAAGACTGCAAAGTATTATAGAAGAAGGAATATAAGAAAAGCTGTTAGGAGAAAAATATGTGAATCGTGAATCGTGTAAGGGTTGTGAAATATTAGTGGAAGGATATAATTCATGTTGAAAATTCGTATTAGAGTAAATAGATACAATACTAGAATTTTCATTATGAATTAAATTGCTTGCATCATGATAAGATTGAGTTTTTGTAGAATTATAAGCAATTTCTTCTTTGGTTGATTCCTAAATAAAGTATAATTTATTTATATAAATAATAAATTACTGTAAAATAAATAACTGAAATATACTTTTGTATTTCGGAGATTCTTTCTTGTTCTTTTAGTATTTCTTTTTTCCGAAGCAAATGTATTAGTTTCATTTTGAGAATTTGATTGAAGGGTTCGAAAAATCCGTGATGGTTTACGTGGTTTTCGCTACAGCTTTTGGCGGTGCTCCTTTATTAGTTTTATATTTCACAATTCTGGTGGTCTAAAATGATCTGAATTACGTTCAGAAATATTGTCTTTTGGTGAAAATACTGATCCTCCTAAATTTTTAATGAATACAACATAATCATCAGATTAAAATATAAAATTAAAATATTAAAAAAAAAAAAATTCTTTACCTTGTAAATAATAGAGTCTGATTATTTTATTATATGCTACATCAATATCTCCTTCATATATTAATCTATTTTTATTTTCAGCAGGAATTACTCTTTCTTTGTTTTTAAAATAAGTAACAAGATCTTCTTTTACTTGTCTAGAAAATAATTCCTTATCTGAATGTAGATTAGCATTTCGACGTGCTGCATGAACATGTTTACAGACATCTCGGAATGGCCCATTCCAAATATAAAACAAATGCATTCACCCGTTAAAATATTTGTTAAATAATATCCTTCTTGATGTTCCATTTTTTTAATAAAGGTTGTAAATTATTTATTATTTCCTCATTTAATTTGATAAATTTATTATCAAATGGTGATTCTAATAATTGAATATCATTAAGCTTTCGAATGTAAAAATAATCATCATGATTTGAAGACTCAACAAATTCCAGTAAAAAATAAAGCCTTCCATAATTAAGTCTTCGAAGTTTATCAGATGACATATTTAGTTCATAAATTATAAATAATTAAAAACAAAAAGACAATAATAATACTTACTTCTTCAATTGACTTCATATCAAATAATGTTGCTTATAGCTCAATATAGAAAATAGCTAATAAGGTTACTAAGGGACGTTACAATTTTTTTATTAAAATGATATACTTTACATAACGACCTCCGACAATGGCAAATTCTGTATTATCTGTATCATAATTGTTGGTACAGGCACTATAAAAGTGGGTAGTTTGTTTTGCGGGTACTTTAGTGAAATTGCAAGAATTACAGTATACACGTTTCAATAGTGTGAATAAATAATAAAAAGTATTTGATGTGACGTGCTTGAGTGTATGCAGACATTTGTTTCTTGATGAATACGTTTGGTAGCAAATTAGAAAAATTGAAAAGAGAAATTCACAAGAATCAATGAGATAATCACAGTGAGAAAATCGCAAATGAGAAATGAAAATCTGTGAGCGATATCATAAAATCATGTTTCACAAGATTTATTATGGAAACTATGCTTGTATCACTGAAGCAGCTGGTAATTCTCGTGCCTCTTGGGTATTTGCCAACATTATAAAATACTTTTGGACAATAAGATTGTTATTGTTATATTATAATTTTTATTGATTTTTTTCTTTACAATTAATCTTATGATATAAAATCTTGAGATAAAAAAAATTATTCGGATACTAAAGATAAGAAAGCTTAATAAAAACAAAAGTCATATGATATTGGTAACTGCGGTTGTTCATGTTCACTTGACTGCAGCTGAAGTTCATCTTCTGATATATATGATTGCAAGAATTCTTCTTGTTGTGGTTGCAGTTGGTGTATATCAGTAGTGGATATGATAGTAGATGAGGTTGCGATTGCTGTTGCGGCTGTTGCGGTTGTAGTTGTTGCAGCTGCTGCGGTTGTGATAATAGTTGTGATAGCGGTTGCGGTTGTGGTTGGTCATATTGTTCATATACGAGTGTAATTGTGGTTGCGTTGAGGATAGTTGTGGTTGGTAATATTCATATGTTTGTGGTCGTTTGATATTGATGCAATAAGTTGAGCCCGAATCGGTAGATTTTAACGGTAATCTTAATCTTTTTTACCATCTCCTCCCCTTATTACAGTCCGGGATATTTCCAAAATTGGATTGTGTAACGGATCACGTTCTGGAATGATTCTAGAATGATCGGCAATTACACCAACATTTTAATTGGTTAATCCCTGTCATATTAACGTGATTTGGTGAAAGAATTTCTCACGATATATTCTTTGAAACTGCAAAACGTAATTATAAAAATACGTCATAAAAGGTATGTATTTTCATAATCAGTGAATATTTTTTCATAATCAACTCTCTTTCAAAAAGGTATGAAGACCATAAAATGACTATAAAATGACATAATTTCATTTTAAATGCTTTTTTTTTTGAGTTTCATTGTCATTTTTTTTTATTTTTAATTTAACTTTTTTCTTAATTTTATTGTAGTGATAATGTGCGAAAAATCATATGCTAAAGAGCTGCCTTTTTCGCAAATTTAGTAATCACATATGAGCGAAAAGGTTTGAGAAAATGTGAGACAAACCATCACAAGTATGGCAACATGTCTCCTTCTTTATCATACTTTTATCCTGAATCAATTACAGAATGTCAAAGATTTTGGGTTTATTTAAGAAAACTTAATTTTCTTAATCCAATGGAGACAAAAACAGATTTTAAAAGTCTAGGTGGAGAGAGTAAATTAAGAAAAATTTTAGTATTAATTTAGCAAAAAAGGCACGACAAGAATATATTATTGAAGTGTTTTACAAAAAAAAGTTCAGTTCTTTCATTTCTGCTTATTCCAATAACTCAACAAGAAGCAATGGTGTAGGCGGATGAATTCAACATAATACGAATAGATATTTTGCATAAAGTAGAATCTCTTTTAGAACAAATGAGTGAAAGTATTCGCAAGCAGTGCAATGGAATAGGATCTAAAAAGAAAAGTGAATTGCTAGCCATATTACAAGAGGTACGAAATTTGCAGAGTATAGATAGTGAATTAGATGATATAGATGTAGTTTAGGCGAAAAAAATATATTTTTCAAATACAGAAATAAATTAGAAAAAATAATAAAATTATCTAAGTTTTATCATTTCGAACGATCAATGTAGCGATGTCAGTCATAGAATATTCTGATCAACATTCTTTGATCGGCATATACAAAAATGGTAAGATCACTACCAATCAAAATGCTTAAAAATGATTCCATTTATGGTAAAATCCCAGACTGTATTATTAATATCATGACAAAATAAATTATATAAAAATATAAATATATAAACAATGAACATTTATCTTTATCAATAATATAAATTATACAGTAAAGAGATACGATAATTTTTTTTTTTTATCATCATTTGATCAATTGATCAAAACAAATGCGCTATCTAATAAATCTGTACCTATCAAAGAAAAAAAAAAAAAAATTTTCTAATAACATATTTATAACTTTAAAAAGAAATATATATATTCTTGTTAGAGTAATTTGAAATTTTGAATAAAATGTATTTTAGTAATTAAATCATAATAAATCACCTTTTTTTTTTTTACCTTGAAAATTCCAAAATCCGCTGCAATAAATCGTGTTGAAATTTTCGATCGATAAAAATAATTTTCTTTTTACAAAAGTACAAAATTTTTAAGTATACAAGAAAGTCAACTGATGCATCGAATGATTTGAAATATGATAAATAACAATGCGCTTACTCATGTATTAAAATGCATTTTCCGGAATCCGGATTTCGGTAAAACAAAAATGGAATAAAAATAAAAAATTATTTTTTTTTTTCCATAAACTAAATTATTAATATACAGTATGGGGTGATTTGAAACAATGATTGATAACAAATGCGGTTAATTAATCAAACTTGTACTTTTCGGATTCCGGAGGAAAAAGAACCAGTCATTTCTTACAAGCTCGGGTGCTACTGCATTCAAAATTTACTTATAATGTGCAATCAATAAACTTATATTTATTAAATTAAAGTAGTCCCTGATCCAAAACAATAACATCCCTTCTTTTAAATTATACAATCATGTAAATTTTTTCCAAAAAGGGAACGCGTCGAGTCCAAATTTATTCAGCTACCATCAATCAACCAATCACAGTATTGCTGATTATGCACTGCGCAAAAATAATGAAAGCGTAGAGTCTTGATTTGTAAATCATTAAAAAATCCGTCTTATGATGCATTCTCCCATTTTCGAATTATAGATTCACCAAATTCGTTTGATTCATTAGCCTTAATCCTTCAATCAGAATATTGAAGTTTATGTAAGTTCTATTTGCGACAAATATTACTGCAGATAATTGTGATAAATTATTAAAAGAATTTAAAATTTATAATATTCAAAAACTTTGATTACACGTATAGTAAATATAACTTAACGTACGTACATATCAAGGACAAAGAAAATTTTTCTTTTTTTAGATTGATTTGGCCCCCTTTTCTCTCATTCGATATAGAATTCGGAATGTAAGTCCGATAATCAAAAAAAAAAAAGAGAACAAAAGAACAAAAGAAAAAAAAAAATCTATGAATACGCCAAAAAAGTTTTTTTATTAAATAAATAGGTGGGTTTTTTTATGAAATACTTTAATATTCTTTTTAATTTAGCTGGAGGAATGTTCTCGATCCACATCGTAAGTAAATAATATACATCTTTTAGTATATATTTAAAAAGAGAAATGAAAATAAATAAGTTTCTCCATTTTTACTAATGTGTCACGAACAGTTAAGTCTACGAGAGAGATTTTATCGATAAGATAAAATAATTGGGAGAGAATTCGGAAAATGTCACGGCGATCGTAATCTTTCTGCATAAAGTGCAAAAATACCAGTAAGAAATCATTTGTTCCAACCTTTAACCGATCTAATAAAGGGCAGTGGGGTGGGTAGGTGGGCTTACAGTACGTGAACATTGCTGTACTGTATATCACTGTCCTTTTGATATATTTCTATTCGATTTTTTTTAATACATTTCGTTCTTGCATTTTTTTTCGTAAAAATCTTGGTGTTTTTTTTTCGTAAAACCCTTTTTTTTCATTATTATGTTCGGTTCTTTCTTTGATTATTTTTTTTTTTTCTAAATTCTTTTCGGTATGTGTATTTGTTAATCTACCTTATATATCTTGCAAACTTATTCCTTCTCTTCAGTTTTTTTTTTTGTTTAGACGAATTGTTCCACTTTTTTTTTATTGTTTTTTTTCCAATATTTTTCATTTTTTATTTTTTATTTTATACATTTTACTAGGAAATAAACTTATCGTAGTGCTTAAAAAAAATTGTTTGTTTGATATAAAAAAGCATTTTAAAATGTTTATTATTCATATACAATATACTTCTAACAGATAATGTGTGGTGTAAACTGTAAAGGCTTTTGATTGCCTGAAAGGTGTGATGGTTATTTGTCGCATATACATGATCGTAGAAAAGGCTCATTGCATTTTGATTATAAAAACAATACTGCCTTTGATTTAAAAAGAAAATTAACAAAAATAACAGAAATTAAAGCTTTTGCGATATATTTAATCCATTTAATGGTATCCGATCAAAATCTCGACAATCCCAAACTCCCACAAGTCATTATATCGTTCAAATAATTTTCGAGATTTCGTACCAAAACCATATTTAATTATTATCATTTATTTATTTTATTTATAAGGCAAGTTTTGTCATCATACTCTTTGCAATTTCCACTAGTGATGGCAAGATGGCAAGTGGTCTAAATGAAACTTGGACCATTAGTCACGTGCCAAATTAAAATTTAGTCATGCGGCGGCAGCGGCGCAGTTGTGATCACACATTTCGTCATTACGAATTTGTATTATAAAATGAAAAATTCAAAAATTGCAAATCAAAAATTCATTATTACAAATTTATTTACAACTTAATAAACTTGTAATTCAGGGGGAACTTGCATATATGAAATAAAATAACGAAACTATAACTGATAGTATTATATTATGAACCTTAAATATTTAATCCCTGAATAATTATTTAATTATTTCCCATTTTTTTTAAAAATTAAGTTAATCAATGAAATCAATTTTTGAAACGGCTAAAAAATTTTAAAAATAATAGAAACATATCGCCGAAATTAAATCAATCAATAAACTAATTCAATGGCGTAAATTATTGGTTAAAGATCAGCTATTTTAGGTAATCCATTTAGTATACCTATATAATTATTAACCTATATGATTGAACTTTTCGATAATTCATGATTTAATTTGCATATATAATTATTAATCAAATGACAATATATTGACTTTTTCGGTAAGGTTTAAAACTTTTATCATATGCTTATGATGTTTCAAATCATCATGTCCTTTGTTCAAGGTTTTCATTTTAGTAATTCGTTAATTCGTGGAATAACCAAAAGGATCGCTGATCAATATAAATATTTGGTAGGAAATTTAACCCTACTCAGGATCTGCAAAGGATTCCAAATATGGTTTAGTAAGATAATAATTATCAGCCACGTAATTTTTTGTTTTATAAATTAAAAATTTGTATATATATATTTATTTTTATAAATTAATTGATTATTTAATTATATTCATTTATATTCATCTTGAATAAATTTTACGATAATTCATTCATTCATTATACAGTATACTTTTAAAATATTTTACTTTTTTTACGTTAATTATTTCCGTATCTTCGTATCCATCCTTATCATTCAAACAATAATTATGTATGAAATTAAACACACGATTATCTTTCTTTGAAAGGAACATAGAGGGCGTTATTATTTCGATTAATTTAGATTACAGGATAAATGATTTCATATTTGTTTTTCTTAGTTGTTTCATCTCATGATTTACACAAAGATGTTGAAATGGCGCGATATTTCTTTATTTATAATATTTATAATTTATTTCCGTCTGCAATTTTCCGCGATTTGAAATCATTTAATCATTTTCATGCATGTTATTACGCGTTGTTCTTCTTTTTGATTAAGTTTTTTTTGATTTGTAATATGTATCCTTATTCGTTTCATTTGCTGCGCAAGGTTTAAATTAAATATAAAAGCAATCATAAAACAGTCCTGGTCAAAAAACAAGAATATGAAAAGATATTCTAAAAAACTTAAGATATTAATTATGATTTTATTTCATTAACAAAAAAAAAAAAAATTATTTCCCCAAAACCATCAAAACCGTCCTCCAAAACCTCCTCCAAAACCGTCCTCCAAAACCATCCTAAAACCGCCATCCTAACCATCCTAACCACCCTAACCGTCCTTACCGGCCTCAAATCCATCCTAATCGTCCTCAAAACCGCCATCAAAACCGCCCATCAAAACCGAAAAAAAAAAAAATTATGGTTAGTTAAGATGAATTAATTAAAATGAATTTATCCAAATTACAACTCTCAACTAATTTAATATTTTGCAATCTATAGTATACGAAGTAATCTGCTTCATTCTTTTCCGTTTTCGTTTCACTTTTCCCAAAAATAAGTTTATTAATTAAACAAAAAATAATTATTTCACTTTTTTATATGTAAAAATAAACTATCAATCAAATAAATATTAATATGATTTTATTATAAAATGTAATGAATGTGACGTTCTTATCCATTGCTGTGACATTATCGTAATTAAAATATATTAAATATCAACTGCGCCATCTTATAAAACTATTGGCTTAACCCAATTAATGTTTGTTGTCCAAAAATTAAACCGATAATTATCCTACACGAAAATTTTAAATATAATTTCATCATGACATACTCAAAAACTAACATTCCTTATTCACTTTAAAACCTGAAAATACAAACCTAATAAACCTAATCTAATCGTCGAATTTCCTTGTCCATTTACCCTCAATAGTCAATGCGAAAGTCGTTCGTACGATCTGCATCATTTATTGTCAAAGTTATTGTACAAAAACTGAATTCAGGAACAATGAATAAATATATAAAAAATTTAATTGATTATTTATATAACAGGCCGGGTATGCTCCCTTCGTTTCATTTTTTATTTGTGTAAAACCTTGGATAATTAGTTATTAGGCATAAAAATTATTAGGTTTAAATTTTGATCTATTTTTAGTAAATATTTACTGTATATCATCAATCTTTTCAAAAAGAAAAGGTCTATTGTTCCATTTTGAAACATTAATTTTTCATCCCGTAAATATTCTATTTCGACTCAGGGATCAACTCAGAAGAATCAATTCAGGTTTTTTGCAGTCTGAATAACCGATAGGTTGAAAATATGGACGCATCCCTATTTTCCTTTAAAAATTAAAATGGCTTGATTGTTCTCAACCAGTTTGTTTATTTGATTTATGGTTGAAAATGGTTTGATTAGGGGTCTAGATTTCTCAATTGTTTCCTATATTCTTTAATCTATATTGTAATACAAAGAGATTGCGAGATAAAATTGGGGAGAAAAACTATTTCACAACTAAGAATTCTTGAATTTTTACCTTGTTAAAGGCTTTTCTGCTTCTGAGAAAAACAAAAAGCCGACCATATGATAATGTCAATGCGTGAATATCAACAAGAAATAAAAAAAAGGCCGAAAATTCTTTGAAAGGATTTAATTTTCGTGACCGGGTAACCCGGATATCCCGATGATTAAATATGATAAATTTAAATCCACCATTATAGTAGTGGCGCAACAATTACGATATCTGATATCTGGATAATTTTTATTAAAGTTGTACATAATTACTAATTTAATGATTTAAATCTATTGAATTTTTTATTAATATTATTTCTAACGTTTAGTACTATACTTCGTTTTTTTTGTCATCTTTTGAGTGAAAGTGGAAATTTTACAGAAGGTTAAAAAAAAGTTGCATACGCGTCACGCGCGTCACGTCTAATGAATTTTGAATTTTGCTAATTCACGGCTACAAAGTATTAAAGTATTACACGTGGGTTAAAGTCAGTTACGTGTTTTTCCTTTTACATTTACGAATCAAACCAATCTAAAATTCTTCACCTAATTCAGTAACGTTATACACGTTCACAACAAAACACGAAACACGATCCTAATTCAGTAACTTGCAATTTTGTATATAAATAGAGGTCTTGATCTAACAGATCTAACAGTGGTTAAACTTTAAAACTTTTTCGAAAAAAATTTTTCATATTAAAGCACACCTTTCCTTTCGCGCGTTGTGCTTTCATGATTCTTTTTTCTTGCTTTTTGCAGCAGCTGCTGCGAGAACCAAGGATTTAATTTCCGGTTTTTCGTCAATAAATGCTTGCACAAAGTTAAAATAGAAGAATCATTTTGCTCAAGATTTTCTTGGGCACGTCGTGAACGTTTTGGTGCGCGCAATTTCCAAACACGCTTCCGTGTTCTCCAAAAGCAACGAGGTAATTTATGATAAAAAATTATTTATTATCAATGACTTCTTTTTCTTTTGAAATGTCGTCTTTCATGGTAATTTGATAAAAAATTATTTACTAATAGATGAATGACTTCTTTCTCTTTTGTTAGGATATTCAAGAGTTCCAAGGCGCATAAAAGAACAATGTCTTCTTAAATAAGTGAAGAAATGTCAAAAAACAGACCGTTTGACCGTTTTGATTATGTTGTGATCAAAGCTTTCAAAGAATTACAAAGGAAAAATAACCATCAATTCAAAAATTGAAAATTAATCAATACACTTTGGTCTTGAAAACTTCGGGAGATGAAGATGTTCCAAGAACACCGCCGGGACCTAGGCGGGCGGAATGCGCTTATTGATGAGTCAAAACAGGACAGTCCTTCTAAAACATTGAAGCTAGATCTTGTTGGCAGTTCTTTAGTTTCTGTATTTATATGAAGCTTTTCATCAGAGTTATTAACTGTAATGGGTTTTGGTGAATTCTTTTTACGTTCTTTGCAAATCTCACGTGATGAATCTTTTACTCTTAGATAGTCTATTTGACGGTGATGATATCTTCTTTTAATTATATTTTCTTCATCTTCCTCCTCGATTTTTTTTTCAAGATGAAAATGATTATTATATGAATAAAGTCTCACTTCGGTGAATAATTGATTTTACCGCTATTATAATATTATCAGAGTTTAAATTACTATACTTGACATGAATTTTGTCGAACCTGTATAAGATCTTTAGAAGAAGCAAATATTAACAAAAAAAAATATGAATTCAGAATTTTAAAGAATAAATCAGCTATAAAACGTTTGCATCGCCTTTAATTATTTGTATTATCCTTAATTTGTATTATCCTTAAGAAAAAGTTTGTTCGGGCCTCAGTTTCCACTAATAACCTTTTTTTTTTGTAACACAGATATTCTGATAATCTTTTTTCAACGAAAAAAACCAAAAATAAAAAATTTGGTTATTAAAAAAACGAGAAAAATTTAAATCGTTATATTCCACTTAATCTAGTTTTTTCCGCTATTCGCTTTTACGCTCTCGTCTGTTTAAACTAAAGAGTTTGAAAAGAATATCATCAAGAGAACGAACACGGAAAATTGTTACAAATGACAAGCCAGCCACAAATTCCTTCTTCCCAAGGTCTATTACTGCTTTTGATAAAGTCAGACCTTGCAATTTGAGCTGTGATGGCCCACGCAAGAGAAAGTGGAAATTGCAAGCGAGAGCAACTTCCGGTTTTATCTTCCCACATACGTCTTATAGAACAATAGGCCCTTCTATATTCCTAAGAGTTGGACCGTTATACTGTCAAATGAAACTCAGGTAAAGATTCTCTTATATAAAATATCTGTTATTGTCCCCATTACCCCAATTATAAGACCAGCAGCATTCTGCAGGCCTTAGAAGCTTCAGATCCACCCGTATGTACCGCATGATTCTTGGCAACGGGTTGGTTTAATAATCGAAGTTTATTCAAATTTATTTTATCTGATTCAGGAATATTTTCTGGAATTCGGATCGTGTAGACCTTCCATCACGTAAGTGATATGACAGGTTTCTGAATTGTTGTTGTTTATCCGAGTTACCTGTTGTCTTGCATATCCTCAAGTTTATAAATTTCTTGAAGTTGACTATAGGCACTACGACCATTGATCTGATTTTCGAGAGTCCTGGGAATATCACATACCGGAGGAAGCTGCCCAAAGTCACCAACAAGAATTATGGATCGGCTACCAAAGGGAATATTGTAGTGATCTGGAAATGTTTGCCACAGTCGTAAATCAATAATGCAAGAAAACGACGTCCTACCATACTCATTTCATCAATTATAAAATATTCTATATATTTTAGTTTTCTTTGGAGTTTCTTCAAAGATTCTCAATGTTTACCCCGCATATTGGAACAGAAAGTGACGAATGTATAGTGCTGCCTTCAATGTTAAAGCCGCAACACCTGTTGGAGCGACTACCATATTGTTCTCATGTAAGTTATGTTCCTTTGCGATCTCATATAACCTTCCCTGAATAACATTAATAAGGTAAGATTTGCCGGTTCCAGCAGTACCCATAACAATAATTCTTAAAGGTGCTATGGATTCTACTCTTTCACGTATTAACCTTTGTTTCTCACTTAGAGTCCTAAGGTCGATACTAGTTGTTACCAATTGTCTGCTGGATGAAGCTTTCTGCCCCTTCAATTTCATGATATCGTAGCAAACTTAGCAAACTTTCGTTAACCCAATCGTGATTTCTATCAATATCGCGGGCACTAAGTCATCTAAGCTACGCGTCTGTCTATTTGGCATCATTTCAGCCAGTAACATCCAGTCAGTTCGAAGTTCATACGCTTCCTGTGGTGTGTAGTCGTCTTCTTCATCAGAATCGTTACCATCACTTCTTGAATATCATCCACAGCAGGTTCAATTAAATCATTAGGGGCATCATTGATTTCTACAAGATGTTGGTTATATAAATCAATCCATGAAAGAGTGTGATTCTCTGTGAGGTTAAGAAGGTCTCTATAACGAACCATTTCGAATGGGAGATGGACGCGGATAAATACGTACAATGTTTTACCAGAGCATTCTACCCAGTTGCCTTTTACTAATTTATATTGCTGATCCAATTTGAACAATGAAAGTTCCTCAAGTTCGGCAGGTCTATTACAATATCTTTGTAGAGGTGAGGGATCTGTCTACATAATTCCATTGTTCTCATTATTTGGAACATTTCATTACTATCACGAAGCTGTTGATTCGCCTCTTTATTAAGTTTTAGACTAACAAAATTTCAGCTACTATGATAGAGCGGTAATTGAAGATGATGTCAGGTTTCTTGCGCCGAAAAATCACGTTCTTCCGACTGTGTGAATGAGCAACTTCTGGAATGCTTTAACAGCTGGATCATTGGGGTTATCACTACGAAGAGCTTTGTACAACACTTCTGAGAGGGCTAAGGACCGTGGTTCTGCTTCACTAGCATACTTCGAAACATACTGCTTGGTAAGGATGGGTATCAAATCAACATTTGCCCTCCATCCCTGTAATTGAATACGATCATGTGGATTTATAAGTGGATCATTTCTGGTAGTTGTTAGTTCTAGGTAAATAAGGTAACCATTATTATCATTAAAGTCTTCAGAGTGCTTTTGGCATGGGTGGTGATCAGAAGGAGGTGCATTCAGGTCGGGATTGATTGTTGTAACTAAAGAATCTTATTTCATCATTATTTTTCATGTTTTCCCAATCGACTCCTGATACTTCTTTTCGCTTGACAATGCCATGAACATGAACACTACCATTATGTTGCCACTCAAATCGATACCATACCACCAGTCAACTAATTCCCATTTAGGAATTAACATTTCCTCAAAAAAAAAACTTTAAATCGCTTTTCAAAGAACCATGCAGCAATATGGAGATTATTTATGAGATCTTTACATCGGCGGTCTTGCCAATGCATATCTGCGCAAAATGCAAAGAAAATCATTCTCTGAGACCTTATCTAATTCAGCTCTACGACGTATCCAATATTGAATAGTACCACGCAATCCTTCATCATACCGTAATACTTTACTATGTGAGTATCGTTTTGCATTAAATCCAGTATCCTGTACTATGAGTTGCCCTTTCTCTAAATTTTGTCGAACAAATACGCGACCTTCTGATGATGCTCTGCGTCTCATTAATGAATTTAGGGCAAAGTAACGCCACCGTCGATGACGAGCAAATTGGCCATCTTTATAGGCTAAAAGATGTTTAAAGTATTCCGACAGTTTTATTTCTTTTTATCCGGGGTTCATTAAGGTCCATGACCCTCCAAGGATAAATGTAGGAGAATATCCAGGGGTATGAAACTCTTCAACCGGAGAAACTTCGTTATGCTCTGAAGATGGATCCAAATTTTTGGGATTTTCTTGTTCGTCGGGGAAAAGTAATGCGAGCTCTTCATTGGCTGAAGGCAAACAATAAATTCTATCGTGATATCGATATTGATGATGAATATTACAAACTTTACCTGAAAATGGTTCGATTGCGGAAAACTTCCACAATTCACGGATAATAGAACTAATAGTTCTGAAGAAGAACCGGACGATGAAGATGAGAACGAAAATGATGAAAACTCTTTCAACTCACAAACATTTGTTCCTTCATTACCCACAGACTTAATGAAGACAGGGCAATTAATGAAATTCTCAATTGAGCGCAACAAGATCATGAGAGAATTGACTGGCCGAATGACGCCGAACAATAAGTGAATCCAACGATTATTGGATCATGTAGAAGTCGTGCCGCGAATTCCTGCGCATCTTGTGGAAAATTAATAATATTTCCACGATATGCATACTGTCCTCCAGGAAGGGTGTATACCGAAATGACAGGGAATACTTTCCCGATCAGTATTTCTTCTACATCGGTAAGTCTCAGAAAAATAAAAGTATTTAGTTATATAGAAAATATACTAATCAATACCTACCTGGACCCATATTGTTTTAGGATCATCCTCAAACATGACAACGACGGCACTCCTTTCCAATGAGCATAATAGAAGGGAATCGCTCATTGCACGTTTCACTTAGGTTGTTTTTGAGATTGTTCATTGTATTGCGAAATTGGCGCAAAAGCTTCTCATCAACAGTTGGAATGCATATTTTTGACGCATAATTGACTTCTTTTGTGAAAGCCTTACTGCAATTTGATTTGGAGTTTCTTTTGCTCTTCTAAGCGAATATTTCTTACGCGCAAGACTTCTCTTCAACTACCGAACGTACTTCACGCTCCTCGTTGGTCTCTTCTCGCTTTACGCTTCCTTTCTCGATCACGTGCTAAGCGTTCCTCGCGCTCCTCATTAGTCTATTTAGCAATTTCCATCTTCTCCTTTCCGATCATGTGACAAATGAGCTTCTTCCATATCAATTAACATGTTCTCTCTATTCTCTTCTCTCTATTCTCTTTATTCTTGAGATGATTTGAAAGAGGAGCTATGCACAAATACCCTTACACAATTATTGTATATCCTCATTAAAGTGATCTTACCATATTGTAATCCGATGTAATGCAAGGTTTTTATTGGAAATGCTTACAATTTGGCTTGTGAATAAAGAAAAAAAAATTTGATTAAGTCGCAAATTATAATTATTACGTGGTTTACATATTATCGGTTTGATTAAGGGGCGTTTCTTTCGATCGTACTTAGGACAATTCAATATCCATTTGATTTTGTTATTTTAATGCACGTTGCAAATATATTGTTTTTGATTAGGCGACGTTCTTTTTTACTTATGAAGTGTATTTATGTTACAAAATTTATCATCCGCGTCACATTTAAAACTTAAATTAAAAAAAATAATATTTATATTAACCGTTTTTAATTAACAACAATTTTCCGTAATTCCATAATTAATAGTTTTATATATTAAAAGTACTATTAACCCAAATGTCTCGGATACTGACCAAAAAAACATTACTACTACCAATACTACTTACTTACTACCTTGAACATATCCTTAAATATTACTCCTATTATCTTGATATACGTTTATTATAATTTCTAATTCTTTTATTTAATAATTTCAAAAATGTTTTTCATTCTTATCTTCTTTGATCTATTAGATAAATGATACAAAATTTTGGTTATTATATAAACAATAATATGCATTTTCCTTCTTATGATTGGAGACTCTCGTTCTATAATCGTAGATTAGAGATCAATGGCTTTCTAAGCGCTCGAACTTCAAAAAAAGTCGATGGAAGGAAAAATGCATTCAGTGTGTCGGTCATTATTTTTATTACTTTATTTGAAAATTAATTTTAAATTCATATATTATTAATGCCAAAAAATTCTACAAGAGGGTTGATGATTCTTTATTTTCGAATCAAATACGGTCTATGGAAGGAAATGGAACCCAATTTAGGTGAATGAACACGTAGAATCATGAGTAAATAGGGGTGTCGAGATGATTAGCTGATTAAGAAAATGAAATAAAATAAATAAATCGTATTAAATAAAATTTCGCATTCAGTTTGTTGAAGTTCAATTAGCTTATCCGATACATACAATAGTGAGATGTCCACCAGATCTGTATTGAAATACATTGGTCTTAAATAGTACGCGAATTAATTAAATTTAACTTTAGGTAAAAATAGATGCTGCTCTTACTTCTTATACCCAGGGAATAAATCAACTCACTAGTCAATATACTTTCCACTAGCTTGATTGTGATGTACCACTGATAACAATATCATGTTGCTTTACAGGCGATTCATTACACTATGGAGCTATTTCCATTATTTTTTTCAACACACCTCGTTAAATAAATAGTAGGCTTTACAATTGGATTCGTGATAACCTATGTTGAAATTGTTGAAATTCAAACTAAAAAAAACCAACAAGTTAATATGAAATTATGAAATTATTTAATAGAAATTCTAATTCAGTACAAAATGCATACTTTTAGAAAGGTCGGTTAAAGAGATTTTAAATATTGATTTTATCTTTCTTCCAATCCAATCAACATGAAAAAACATTTTAGCTTTTTTCTTTTTAAAAAAAATCGAACCTAACCTATATCAACACAATTGTACTTTTGACTTCATTGCATTATAGGTTTACCTATGCAACCTAGAATAAAAAAATTATCAATTCAAATATTGGATGATCGATGATCACCGCGCCGGCCAATAGCCAATCGTAAATGTGATTTATGTGATTACTCCGTAAGTATTTTTTAGAAATATTACAACAGGAGAAGTGGTGGAACGTAGTAGTGGCGAATTTCGTATACCTTAGTAGAATAGAGAGTGTTATGGGTAAACCTTTTTTCTCTTTTAGAAATGACACGTAAATTCTCCAGTATTGAAGATTTGGATCTTTTATTACTGAAGATCTTTTTGTTTCGTCATATTTTAAAATATACAGAAAACCAAACTCTTCATCTAGAATCTTTCGGGTCAGAGTTCTTTCATTATAATACATTTCAGATGAATAATTCTATTTTTGGAGTAAAGGAACGGACCAAAAATAAAATAGAATTTTTATTCAAACCTTTACTAAGATTAAATAATCAAAGTAAGCTTTTAATTTCTTTTCTTTCTTTTAATACATATATAGATTTATAATAATTTTTTTTATCTGTAGATGCTGAATTTAATTGTCTTGTAATGCCAGCTGATCCTTCAATCAAAGAAATAATGATCAAATATACCATTCCAGTAAAGTTATCTACTGTGAATGTTTCAATATTTCAACTAAATGATGATCTAGATAAACCAGATCTATTACGACAAACATTTTCAGGAGATTCTAAACTATGTACCATTGGAAGCGATAACTATACAGTACATATTCCAATTTTTGAAAGTACATTCAACCAACAGAATTCTACCTATTATGTTTTTGTTGAAAATAATTTTGTCATCTCTCAAGAAAGAGATGAACCTTTATTTGGAATTAAAGGGAAAATTTGGATGTTTTTAACAAGTAATATACATTTTTTTTTTTAAAAAAAATTTTTTAATGATAAATAGAAAATTTATATTTTGTTACTATATTTAGAACCACTTAAAATGGCGCAACATTCAGATTCAGTTACAGGATTACTTCGATTAAATGAGGGAGGAAGTTTGAAATTTCTCCAAATGAATCATTCAATATTTTTCAAAAATATGATTCAAAAATTTTTTAAAATAATTCCAGTAACTGAATCAACAAGTGGTAAATGGAAATATGATCCTATATCCATACAAGATTTTGCTGATCTAGCATTCATATTATTAAAGGTTAAAAATACATCATATTTGATAATTTCAACGTAAGAAATTTCATTTAATATTATTTTATTTATACTATTTTAAAAATTAATTCAATTGATTACTAATTTTCTTATTTATTATTATATAGTATGTATGATATTCTTTGTTTTACCTATTGTAATCAATATTTTATTAGCCATAAATATTTTTGTATCTAAAATGGCAATGAATCCATCGTTCCTAAGTGGATCTCTAATGTACACACTACTTTTAGCCATTAATAAATACTTTATTATTAGATTTATTTGGCCTTAAAATATTTTTGACTCTTTAATTTAAAGATCAAAAAAAATAATGCTTTGGGATAGTATCATAAATATCTTTATTGAAGATATATCTCAAATCATTATTCAAGAGTTATATTACAATAGTGTTATAACATATGATCTTATTCCATCTCTTGCGCTTGCATCTGGTGAATTAGTTATAGACTTATAATAAATAAATTAATTTTAAGATCATATTATGTGTTATTAAGATGGAATCATTGACACAATAAAATTAAAGAATATAATAAATATTGACATTTATTTGCCATTTCTTTAAAGAAGTGGCAGATAAGATTGAATGTTAAATTAAATATAAAAAATATAGTAAATAAATTGTAAAATATTTTAATTTTTAGTACTATTAATTTAATATTATTTAGACTTGAAAATTAAAGAAAAAAAATCTTGTAATTTTAAAAATCTAATTAGATGAAAAAATATATAGTAAATAGATTGTAAAATATTTTTTAATTTTTTAAGTGTGATTATGACAATTAAATAATAGGAATGTTTCATGTTAAAAATTGATTCACTCTTTATTATTGTTTTATGCTAAAAAAAGACAAACTTTTATGAATATCCTTCCATTTCCTTGCAATACTATTTTACTTTATTAGAGTTGTCTTACAAATAGTAATAGTTTCATATCTCTAAGTACAATACTAAATGAGGAATAATATGTCAAAATATTAGCAAATTGGTTTATTTATTGTGCCATTTTGCACCCAATAATTATACCAGCAGTGATATCATAATTTTATCATCAAAATTATAATGAAATTTAAAAAATTTAATAGTTTGTTCTATTTTCAAAATATTATTTGTATGCATAATTTACTATATGTTTAAGTTTATTGATCCCAATGCTTATAGTTTAATTATTTCTTCCAAAATTTATTTATACAAGGTAATAAACACCTTTGATACCAAATGCATGTGCTTACCAAATACAGTCAAACCTTTATATAACGATATGTCGGGACTCATAAGAAAAAATTTAAAAAATATCGTTATATCAAATTATACCGATATTTATATGTCCTCACATATAGTGGAAATGTAAAATTTTATCAGTAAATCAAGTTTTTAATAATGTATCGGTATATCGAATATCGGTATATCGAGTTCTGACTGTATTAGGTTTTGAATTACTTTTAAAAAGTATCAGACATAAACAATTAATTTTTCTATTTAAATTACTAATTAACTTTAATAAATTAGTTCAAATTTCTATAGCATACTTTTCACAGTTTTTATAATTAAAAATTAACATATTATATTAATAAAAGCTTCTGTAAAAAATTCTTTGCAAATAAAAAAAGATCATGTATATTATATTGATCACCACATTTTTTTATGTATGTGAATAAAGTAATATTTTAAAATACAAATTTGGTAGTATAATAATAGAAATACTTTGAATTTTTTTTTTTTGAAACATGTTTATTAAAAAGAAAAAGTTATTAATAGTTAATAAATAAATTAAAATTATAATAACAAAAAAACATATATAAATGTTCTGTTGTTCTGTAATTCTTTCAAGTAAAAAATTTATCATTTTTCAAGTCTTTTAATAAAAATATTCAATTCAAAGGTATTGATCACCTTTATCTGTTTAATACTATTTATCTATTGCTTATCTGTTTCATTTTAAAAAATATATAATAAATAGATTGTAAAATATTTTAATTTTTAGTACTATTAATTTAATATTATTGGGATTTAAAAATTAAAGAAAAAAAATCTTGTGATTTTAAAAAATCTAATTAGATGAAAAAATATATAGTAAATAGATTGTAAAATATTTTTTAATTTTTTTAAGTGTGATTATGATAATTAAACAATAGGAATGTCTCATGTTAAAAATTGATTCACTCTTTATTATTATTTTACGCTAAAAAGATAAACTTTTATAAATATCCTTCCATTTTCTTGCAATACTGTTCTACTTCATTAGAGTTGTCTTACAAATAGTAATGGTTTCATATCTCTAAGTACAATACTAAATGAGAAATAATATGTTAAAATATCAGCAAATTGGTTTATTTATTGTGCCATTTTGCACCCAATAATTATATTAGCAGTGATTAAGGTTGCCTGCCTAAACCTCTCCAAAATTCTACGATTAGTTTTTCTAAGATTTTACTATAGTTTTATTATAGTTTTAGCAAGGTTTTGGCAGTTTCAGCATTTATAATAAGTTTCGTCAAGTTTCACTTTTCTCCAGAGTTTCGCTAACTTTTTAATAAGACTTTCATATAGTTTCAGCAAAGTTTTGCTATTTCGGCATTTCATCAACTTGCCAAAACCCCCTAGTTTCTCCAGCAACCTTAGCAGTGATATCATAATTTTATTACAAAAATTATAATAAAATTTAAAAAATTTAATATTTTGTTCTATTTTCAGAATATTATTTGTGTGCATAATTTACTATATGTTTAAGTTTATTGATCCCAGTGCTTATAGTTTAATTATTTCTTCCAAAATTTATTTATACAAGGTAATAAATACCTTTAATACCAAATGCATATGCTTACCAAATACTGGGTTTTGAATTACTTTCAAAAAGTGTCAAATATAAACAATTAATTTTTCTATTTAAATTACTAATTAACTTTAATAAATTAGTTCAAATTTTTATAGTATATTTTTCACAGTTTTTATAGTTAAAAATTAACATATTATATTAATAAAAGCTTTTGTAAAAAATTCTTTGCAAATAAAAAAAGACCATATGTATTATATTAATCATCACATTTTTTTATATATGTGAATAAAGTAATATTTTAAAATACAAATTTGGTAATATAATAATGGAAATGCTTTGAATTTTTTTTTTTTTAAAACATGTTTATTAAAAAGAAAAAGTTATTAATAGTTAATAAATAAATTAAGATTATAATAACAAAAAAACATATATAAATACTTTGTTATTCTATAATCCTTCCAAGTAAAAAATTTATCATTTTTCAAGTCTTTTAATAAAAATATTCAATTTAAAGGTATTGATCACCTTTATCTGTTTAATACTATTCATCTATTACTTGTCTGTCTTATCTTAAATTATACTATCTTCTTCTCAAAACATATCATTACAAAATGCATCTTAAATTACATCCTTTCAAGATATATTAACCCAAAATGTATTATTTATTTATAAAGAACCAATTAATAGATTAAAATTACATAATACTTACATTTTTAATTTAGATGATTATTTGATGATGTAAATTGCTTTCAAAGATGAAGATCCAGCATGTATACTACCTTATTTATATCTACAATTTATAAATAAAATAAAAAAATAAAATATATGGATTTTAATTACATTTCTTCTGTAGAAGCAATTTGTTCCATTAATATGAATATTTTACCTTTAACTAATAATCATGCAATGATAATTTATATTAAATTAAATAATGGTATTAAAAAAAATATAGCATAATAATTAATTATAATAATAAGTCTATAAAGTAAGTTTAAATAATGGAAATTCTTATTAATAAAAGTTAATAATAGTGATTAATAATAATTTTTTTTGGCGAATATATTTAGAAAATGCTAACAAATTTGTTGAACATAGTATAGTATCATATAAAGGGTTTATTAGTATTGAAAAATCAGATAAAAAAGGAATAGTAATAATATTAATTTAGCCTTCTGTAAGTATTTTTATAAATAGTAATAATTAGTTTTTTTTTAAAAATATTTTATTGTTTAATTGATTAATTTTTTCACCTTATTTTAGAGATATTATAACAGGAGAAGTAATAGAACGTAAAAATGATAAATTTCATACATTAAATCTATTATCATATATCTTAGTTAATAGTTTAAATTTTTTATTAATAAATAAAAGACTTAGTTTTATGTATATTTTAAAATATGATGAAATAAAAAAATCTGATCCAAATCTTCAATACTGAAAAGTATATGTATCTTTTTTAAGAGAAGATGCAGATTCCCTTACAATATCTTATCTGGTTTACCAAATCACTAAAAGATTAAATAATATAACAACTAATTTATGTACTATAACTTATAATATTAATATATATATATATTATGATATTAAATAATACAGTTATGAATAAGAAGAATAATAAATTTTAAACTGAAATAAATTACCATCAGTTCAAGATTTTTATCAACTGGAGTCTTAGAATAATTAAATAAAATTTCTAATTCAACAAATAATACAGATATTAATTTGAAAAATTTTATATTATAAGAAATTTTTATAGAATATTCGCAGTATAATGAATTCTTTATACATGCCACCCAAATTATTTTGGGCTACCATAATTATAAGTAAAATTCCAAACTCAATTATAACATCCCAAATTATAATTATGATATCCCAA